GATGTGTGGATGAGGTTGGCGTTCCCGGAAGGAGGAAGGATGCTCCCGCCGCCGGGTGGGGGTTCCCGGGAGGAGGAAGGATGCTCCCGCCGCCGGGGGGGCTTTTGTCTCGGAGGGATGGAGGGATGGAGGGAGGGAGGAAGGGGTTTGGCTGGAGGGATGGAGGAGAGAGGCTCCTCTGCCCTCCCCACGATGCCCAGCAAGGTGGCCGCCCCCCCCCGGGGGTCCCTGCCCACCGCCACCCCTGGTCCAGGCTCCATCCCAGAGCCAGGAGCCCGGGAGGCACTGGGGGGGGATACAGGGATGTGTGACCCCCTGGTACCACCAAGTCCCTGCAGGCTGTGCCCCCTTCCCACCCCCAAGCCTTGCCCGGGCACCGCGCTCAGTGGGGGTTGGGGGTACCTTAGGGGCTGGGTGGGTCATTCTGCCATCCCTGCTGCCAAGTTGGAGGGGCGTGACCCCCTGGTACCACCAAGTCCCTGCAGGCTGTGCCCCCTTCCCACCCCCAGGCCTTGCCTGGGCACCATGGTCAGTGGGGGTTGGGGGCACCTTAGGGGCTGGGTGGGTCATTCTTCCATCCCTGCTGCCAAGTTGGAGGGACACAGCGTGGCAGGGCTGAGCTGTGCCCCCCGAGAGTGGGGCAGGGGCAAGGTGGGAGCGGGGAAAGGCCTCCTTTGAGGATGGAGAACAAACGAGGCAGGGCATCCTGAACGCGTGAATGAGCCATCACGGGACAGGGCACCGTGCCATGGGGCTGGCCAGCCCAGGGTGGCACCACTAGCCAAGGGCTGGCTGGGCTCCAAGCCCCCAGGCTGGGGCAGTGCCAGCGCTGGGGCAGGGTGGTGACACCAGTTGCCCCATGCCCAGCGGTGGGGACACAACAGCCACCTCTCCCCACGCAGCAGCGCCCGGCGAAAGAGGCATTAATGTCAGCCCCCCGTGCAAAATCGGAGAGACAGAACGGCAACGCCCAAAATGGTGGCCGGGAGGACGAAGGGGCTCTGTTGTCTCACTCGCTCTCACATCTCGCACGAGTTTTTGGTCGGTTTTCCCCAGGACCACCTGCCCCACGCAGCCTTGGGGTTACCGGTGTCCTTGGGTGGGGGTGATATTTCGGAGCCCCCCCACGCTGGTCCTCTGAGTGGTGGCCGGTGTCCCTTTGGCCAGTCTCTCCTGCAAACTTCACGAAGCTGTGTGAGATAGACGGGCGACACGCAGGGCTATTTTTGCCACCCTCCTGCGTTTCAGCCCTGCCTTCTGCCAAGTAGGAGGATTTCCGTGGCGGTGACGTTCAGCCAGGGAGCATGAAGTGAGAGGCAGGTGTCCCTGTGGGTGACAGATGGGGAGTAGTCGGAGCTGGGTGTCACCAGCCCAGCACCAGCAGCTGATGCCAGCTCTCTGCCTGAGGCCACGGGTGGGAGGAGGAGGAGGAGGAGGAGGAAGGCACAGAGCCAGGACAGGCGCCCTCGGGGCAGCTGGCACCAGGGACAAAGGCAGCAGGGCTGGGGAAGCTGGTGGGGGGAGCCCCACTGAGCATAATGGACAAGGGGACAGCTTTGTCCCACCCTGCACGGGTGCCCTGAGGAGCAAGTGGCACGTGGCAGCCACATCCAGCTGGGGGGACGGGGGACAGAAAGCCCCCCCCTTCCAGGCAGCCGATGCCCAGGGTGGCAGCAGGCCCATGGAGAGGGATTTTGGTGGGGGGAAGGTTGCGTAGATGGTGGGCTGGGGAAGGGGAGCTGATGGTCACCTCCCAGGTGGAGGCTGAAGCTCCGGAGGCAGGTTGACTTGGGGGGGCCTGTTCTGGATGCCCACCTCTGCCCAAAGGTAGGCAGGTACCCCTGTGGTCCCCTAAGGAGAGGACACACGGTGCAGGGCATCCCTTGGATTGTCCTGAGATCTGCTTCCACCTGTACCAGACCCTCCCGCACCCTCCTGGCATGGCCAGCTCCCTTCTCCTGCAGGTGGTCAAAAGAGGGACCGTGGCCACTCGTCCTCTCTTGAATGCCCAGCCAGGGCACCGAGGTGCCCTTCTGTGCCTCCAGCCTCCTCGTGCAGGGCCACCATCCCACCCTCTGCCCCAGCTTCTCCTTGCAGGGCTGGGAGCTCACTTGGTGATGTCTTGGTTGCTGCTGGGATCTCTGTGAGTCATCCCACGTAGGTGGCCTGGGATGAGAGGAACATCCCCAACTTCCCAGGAAGGGAAGGAAAAGCTGCTGGGACTGGCCAGGTTCATCCTCTAAGACCACGTTGGGTCTCTCTCCACCCTGGCTGGGTGTTACAGCCCCCCAGAGTGTCCTGGCCTTGTGGGATGGGTGGGCTCTGCCTGCTGCGTTCCTGCCCCTTGTCCTGGTCCAGGCAGGCGGGCTGGCTCGTGTGCTGGCCCCGTGGCAACCTGCACGCAGAGGCTGTCCCTGCGGCAGGTCCCCTGGCCCCTGTCCTGGCCCCTGGCATCCCTGGGAAAGGCAATTGAGGACGTGCTGTGATTTGTCTTGGCTCACGGGGGGCCACGCTGGGAGGTCACCGAAGCCCCGTGGCCGGGAGTGGGTTGGGGTGTCTGGCAGCCACTGTTGGGGGCAGCCTGCGACTCGGAGTTTTGGGGTAAAAGCTTGTTTTGTGTTGGTGGGGGGAGCAGAGCGAGGAGGGGGCAGCTCCTGGAAGAGCTGCAGGCTGGCCAGAGGGCTGTGAGAAAATGCGGGGAGTCCCAGTGGGGCTCAGGACTGGAGCGAAAATTAACGGGGTGGAAAAATGCCACGGCTGCAGCCGGGGGAGAAACACCCCGGGCAGGGAGGAGGACTTGTCCCCCATCTGCTTGATGGTCCTTGTTAGAGGGGGGACCAGCAGCCTTGGGGACCGGGGAGGGCTGCTCTCCCAGCCCTGAGGACATGAGACCCCTCCCTATGGTCCCCTGTCCCCACGTCTCGTGGTGAGGCTGGGCACGCACGCTCCCCTGTGCACACGTGTGTGTGCACACACATGTGGCTGCTGACCAGGGCAGGGCAGGCAGGGCACAGCACCCACGGAACTGGTCCCAGCATGGGGGGAGATGCTTCCTCGCCTCTCCAGCTGGTCAGGATTGATGTCTGCTAGTGGAGTGTGTATTTATGTGTGTGTGTGCACATAGAGGTATATATCCATCCATACATGTGCCTGTGTATATTTATACCCCTATATACACCCAGGGGCTCCCAGGGGGGGCAGCAGCACATCTCCTGGCTCTTGGGACTTCTCCCATTTAATAACCTCGGGTGGTTTGAAGGTAGACAGGGCTCCAAGGGTGGGAGCAGAGCACAACCTGCCCAGCCCAGGTGGGCTTAGTGCTTGGATTTTGGGCTTGGGACCATCCAGCCGTGGGTTCCTGCGTCCGAGTCTCCCTGGGGGGGTGGACAAGTGCATCCATCCATCCATCCATCCATCCAGGCCAGGCCATCTGCCTCCTTGCCCACCCTCCTTTGATCAGCAGCAATGGCGTGGCGAGATGTGGGGCTGGTTTGGGGCGGGGGGGGTCTCCCCCCAAGCATCCCGTGCCCGGGCGAGGGGGGAAGCTGAGATGCGGGGAGGGATGGGTGCTGCTGCCACCACCGCTGCTGTGCCACGCGGTGTTTACTGTTCGGGCTACAAGGCGGCTTTGTTGTTCTCCTCAGGACACGCTGAATAACAACTCTCTGGGGAAAAAGCACAGTTGGCAGGAGCGGGTGTCCCGGTCGTCGTCCCCTCTGAAAACGGGTGAGTTTTCACTGAATTTCACTGAATTTTTTAGAGTTGGAAGGGACCATAGAGATCATCTAGTCCAACTCCCCTGCCAAAGCAGGATTGCCCAGAGCTTGTCAGAGCATGTCGCTCAGGACGGCATCCAGGGGGCTTGGAGATCTCCAGAGAAGGGGACTCCACACCCTCCCTGGGCAGCCTCTTCCAGGGCTCTGCCACCCTCATCATAAAGAAACTCTTCCTCAGATTTGAGTGGAACTTCCCATGGTCCAGCTGTGCCCGTTGCCCCTCATCCTGTCACTGGGAACCACTGAAAAGAGTCTGGCTCCATCCTCCCTCAACCCACCCTTTAGATACTTGTCAGCATTAATAAGGTCTCCCCTCAGCCTTCTCTTCTCCAGGCTAAAGAATCCCAGCTCTTTGAGTCTTTCTTCATAAGAGAGATGCTCCAGTCCTTGAATCATCTTTGTTGCCCTTTGCTGGACTCTTTCCAGCAGTTCCCTGTCTCTCTTGAACTGGGGAGCCCAGAACTGGACGCAGTATTCCAGTTGTGGCCCCACCAGTGCAGAGTAGAGGGGGAGAATAACCTCCCTTGACCTGCTGGCCACACTCTTCCCTGTGCAGCCCAGGATTCCGTTGGCCTTCCTGGCCACAAGAGCACATTGCTTGCTCATTGTCATTTTGCTGTCCACCAGGACCCCTAGATCTTTCTCTTCAGAAGTTATCTCCAGCAGATCCACCCCTAACCTGTTGGGTTGCTGGCCAGGAACAGCTCTCTTCACCCTTGTGTGGCTGGGGCAAGTTGGTGCCGGAGCAGGAGGTTGGGGAAAACATCCCACGTGGATGCGGGGTGCATGTCCAATCTTGAGTCTGGGTGGCATCCCTGGCCACCTTCCCCAGGAAGGAGTGTCACCCTCTGTGGTGCTGTCAATGCTGCTGTCCTCCCCCTCCAGGTGAGCAGACCCCTCCCCACGACCACGTTTGCCTGAGTGATGAGGTCAATCACCAAAACAGCACAACCTCCACCAAAGACCGGGGCACGTCCACGGAGAGCCCGTGCCGGCGCACAGCAGCCACGCAGATGGCACCCGCCTGCGTCACCTCATCCCGGCCACCTGAGAAGCACCAGAACGCCAGCCGTCCCCCACCACACGGTGCCAGCGTGGTGGTGGTGACGTCGAGGGGCCCCGAGGCCCACCGGGACCGCATCCGCTACCAGACGGATGTGAGGCTGGAGGCCACAGAGGAGATCTACCTGACGCCCGTGCAGAAGAACTCGGACCCCCTGGAGACCGACAAGCCCTTCCTCTCTCAGTCCAGCGAGAACCGCATGTCCATCAGCTCCGACATCGACACCTCTGGCTACTCGGCCCTGGCAGGGAAAACCAACCCCTCCATCAGCGAGGAGGACGAGGTGCTGGACTACATGTCCTCCCCTGACAAGATGAACCTGCCCAGGGCCTCTTGCGGTGGTGGGAACAGTGCCTCCCGGCCGGGGCACAACCTTCAGAGAGCCTCGGTGAGTTCGGACACCAGTGCCCTCTCCTACGACTCGGTCAAGTACACGCTGGTGGTGGATGAGAACGTGCAGCTGGAGCTGGTCAGCCTCAAGCAGTGCTACTCGGGCTACAGCGACGAGAGCGACTCGGCCACCGTCTATGACAACTGCGTCTCCTCGCCCTACGAGTCGGCCATCGGCGAGGAGTATGAGGAGGATGCACTGAAGCGCGACTCGGTCTGCCTCTCCGAGGACTCCACCCCCGAGGCGGACATCCACTTCTCCAAGAAGTTCCTCAACGTCTTCATGAGTGGCCGGGCGCGCTCCTCCAGTGAGTGGTGGGCGCCAGGGGGAGGTGGGCTGGTGGCTGCCCGCCCAGGCAACTCTGCCCATCCCTGATACAAGGTTGAGGGCACGCTCAGGACGTGGAAAGCCACCAGCAGATGTGAGCTCCAGCTCTGCTTGCTGCAGCTTGTGGCTTTGTCTCTGGTGCCTGGGAGGGGGTTGGAAAAGCCTTGCGAGCTGCAGGCAGGGGTGGCTGGAGGTGGTCCAGGCTCTTGTTTGGCTAGCCCAAAGTATGGCTGTCCTGAGGGGGGGGCTGAGTGGTCTCACAGGGGGACAGCATACCTCCTGGAGTGCCACCCGTCTCCAAGAGCCCAGAGGAGCACCAGGGGCTGGTGGCATGACCCTGCAGTCAGGTCTTCCCATGGTGCGGTGGGTCCCATGGTGCTGGTGACACCAGCCGTCACAGATGTGCAGGTTGGTACAGGAAGGTTGTAGTTCCAGTGGGGATCCGGTGGGCACCAGGGCAGCGGGTCTAGCTATGCCTTCCTCTCCTGTGGCACCATGTGGCTTTGGCTCTGCCGAGCCATCCCCCAGGAGCCTCAGCATCCTCCCCAGCCCATGTCCTTCCCTCGGCTGTAGTGCTGACCCCTCAACGCTGAGATGCCCCCCTCTGCCTTCATCCCCAGGTGCCGAGTCCTTCGGGTTGTTCTCCTGCATGATCAACGGGGAGGAGCAGGAGCAGACCCACCGCGCCGTCTTCAGGTGAGCTTGCAGGTGCCAGCGGTACCCCCAGCCTTTCGCAGGGGAAAGCTGGTGCTGCCCTCCCACCATGGTGGGGCCAGCCCAAGCACAGGTGTTTCCAGCTTTTGGGAAGCCCTAGGGACCAAACTGCTCCCGATGTAGCTCATGCCCTGCCCAAGACCAACATCTACCTGGGCTGCTCTGAGGGCACCTGGGACCTCTGGGGAGCAGCACGGGTGGTGTGACAGGGGTGCCCTTGCCTGAGGTGCCAGGGCACTGCCGCCTTTTGAGCCTAAAGCTGCTCAGATTTATTCAGCAACCCAGGTCCCTGTGGCTAATTACCCCTGCCAGGTGCCCACCTGGGCCAGTGTTTTGTGGTTTTGTGTTGCCCCCTGCCCTAGCAGCGTGCCCATGAGAAGGCCACCAGCATTGCTGGCCGGCCAGGTGCTAGTCCCTCCTTGCCCAGGTTCGTGCCTCGCCACGCGGATGAGCTGGAGCTGGAGGTGGATGATCCTTTGCTGGTGGAGGTGCAGGCAGAAGATTATTGGTACGAAGCCTACAACATGCGGACGGGCGACCGGGGCATTTTTCCTGCCTACTACGCTATCGAAGTCACCAAGGACCCAGACCACGTAACAGGTACCAGACCTAGGCACGCAGCATGCTGATGTCCCCTCTCCTGTGTCCACCTCCTCTCTGTTGAGAAGAGCCTGGTGCTGAGCACAGGGGGATGATGGAGGGAGGACCAAGCTGAGCACCTGGCAGGGAACGATGGGCAGCTTTCTGGTGGGTCTTCTGTGGGAAGCCTTCCCTGGGCAGGGGTGGGAATATGGAACAAGGAGCTGGATCCTAGCCCACATTCCTGGTCATTGGAGATGATCCCTGCTATGTGCCCTCTTTTCCAGCTCTGGCCAAGAGCAACGACTGGGTGGACCAGTTTCGGGTGAAGTTCCTCGGCTCGGTGCAGGTTCCCTATCACAAGGGCAACGACGTTCTGTGCGCGGCCATGCAGAAGGTAGTGTCCCACCCCAAACCTGGGAGGAGGAGCGCCTGTTCCTCTTGGCAGCAGGACAGAGCCTCCGTGGGGAAGGGAAGGGAAAGGAGGAGCCACCACCACTACTCACAAGTGCCAGGACTTTGTCTCTGTCTTTCCCCCCACCAGATTGCCACCACGCGCCGCCTCACTGTGCACTTTAACCCACCCTCCAGCTGCGTCCTGGAGATCAGCGTGCGTGGGGTCAAGATTGCCGTGAAAGCTGATGACTCCAAGGAGCACAGCAAGGTAATGTCCCTCTCCCTGCTCATCTCAACCCTTCCCTGGTTGCTGGCTCATGCCCCCTGTGCTACATGTCCTGTTTGTGTATCTAAGTGGGGGATCTCCACCCACCTAAGGGTGTGAGAAACACCATCAGCAGGGTTGTAGGCCCACCTCGGGGTCCCTCATACCCCATGGGCTCCCAGCTTTGGGCTGTATCACTTGCTGGTGGCCCCACAGCTGCCAAGCACCTCGCTGTGCTGGGATGCTGCGAGCTGAGCCGTACCAGTAATCTGTCAGCTGCTCCTAAAACCTTTCCTGCTGCTATTTTGAGTGGTGTCCTCCAGATCTGCCCCGTAATCTCTTTAGCTGGCCGTGGCAGGCTGGTGATTAGCGTTCTGCATAAGTAGCCTAGCAAAGCACGGGGAGATGCTGAGCAGAGGAAAGAGAGGGCTTTGCAGCAAGACTTTCTTTGGGAGACCTCCCCCTCCAGCTGGGAGGGGGTTGGAGTAGCTCATGGCCATGGGTGCTGTGGCAGGGAGCTGGGCTCTTGGCTTTCTACAAGTGTAGAAATGGGTGCTGTGGCAGGGAGCTGGGCTCTTGGGTGTGTAGAGGGTGCCATCAAGGTGGTTGCCCTTTGAACTTGTGTAAGTAAGTTCTCATTCCCATCTGGGACCTTTTGAACACCCAGGCTTGGGTGACTTATTTAGTTCTAAGTTATCCATTCACCTTCTATCTGCTGGTATTTCTAAGAGCCAAACAGCAGCGCCGATCCAAGCCCCAGGGCCTCCAGGGGAAGCCCACAGGAGCTGCTGGAGGTGGAGGCAGCCAGGGTGGGAGCTAGCAGGGCTGCCTGGAAGATGCCCCCATGTGCAGGTGCTTGGGGCTGCCCTGAAACCGCTGCTGGGATCATCCCAGGGTGGTGGCCCAGTTTATTTCATTGCTGAGCCCACACACGTGTTTCCAGAGTCCGGCTGCCCCATGGAGGTGGTGGGGAGGGAAAGCTTTGATGGTTCTTATCTCTCTCTTTCTCTCCCCCCCCAGGTAAACAAGTGTAGCCATTTTTTCCAGCTGAAGAACATTTCCTTTTGTGGGTACCATCCAAAGAACAACAAGTGAGTAGTGAGGAGGTGCGGGGTGGCTCTGGACACCAGCAGCTTGGCAGAGGGGCTTTGCTGCCTTCGAGTAGTGAGGAGGTGCGGGGTGGCTCTGGATGCCAGCAGCTTGGCAGAGGGGCTTCTCTGCCTTCCTGCTGCTCCTGGCTGGGGCTGGGAAAGGTTCCTCTTCCCCCTGCAGCCTTTGGATGGGAGCTACATCCCAGCTCTGGGCATGGGCTGCCAGGGCTGGTGGCCACTGGGTTTTGGGAGGGAAGGCAGGTCCCCAACTCCTGTGCCCAAGGGGATGCTGGGGTACCAGTGCCTGCTTCTCTGCAGGTCCAGTCTCACCCAGTCCCTCTGCCCTCAGGTATTTTGGGTTCATCACCAAGCACCCTGCTGACCACAGATTTGCCTGTCATGTCTTCGTCTCGGAGGAGTCCACGAAGCCGCTGGCAGAGTCTGTAGGGTGAGTCCTGGCTGGGCACGGAGAGGGGGGGGTGCTTGGTCCCAAAAGGGCAGGAGGAACGAGGTGTCCTGCCATCTCCCCATAGGTGTGGGGCTCGGGCTGGCACCTTCTTCCTTCAAGCGGGAGGCTCCTTGGATGGGAGCTACATCCCAGCTCTGGGCATGGGCTGCCAGGGCTGGTGGCCACTGGGTTTTGGGAGGGAAGGCAGGTCCCCAACTCCTGTGCCCAAGGGGATGCTGGGGTACCAGTGCCTGCTTCTCTGCAGGTCCAGTCTCACCCAGTCCCTCTGCCCTCAGGTATTTTGGGTTCATCACCAAGCACCCTGCTGACCACAGATTTGCCTGTCATGTCTTCGTCTCGGAGGAGTCCACGAAGCCGCTGGCAGAGTCTGTAGGGTGAGTCCTGGCTGGGCACGGAGAGGGGGGGGTGCTTGGTCCCAAAAGGGCAGGAGGAACGAGGTGTCCTGCCATCTCCCCATAGGTGTGGGGCTCGGGCTGGCACCTTCTTCCTTCAAGCGGGAGGCTTTTTTGGGGGAGAGCCAGGGCTGACAGGGCTAGGGGCAGCCTATTCCTGCCAGGGCTGGAAGGACTCCCAGGGTGAGGTGTTGCAGACAGATGGCTGATGGAAGCCATGCATGGGGGTCAGGACAAGGCTGGAGACCCTGCAGATCTGCTGTGCTAACGCAGGATGGGCTACAGGGTTGGGAGGGTCAAACCAGCCAGAGGGTAGGGTGAGGAGAGAAGTTGGGGTGGGGGATGCTCTGTAAATGCCTCTCGAGGAGGACGTTGCCCTCAGCTTTGCCCGGTGCTGTGTTGCAGGAGGGCTTTCCAGCAGTTCTACAAGGAATATGTGGAGTAC